TATAATTCTTTCCTTATGTGTAAATTACTTTCTTTGTCCTATCCCGCGTGCGTGAAATGGCTGATGTTGCAGAGCACAAAGACTAAAATTCTTAGATTTCCTTCCACTCTTTAATGTTGCAGCATTATACTTGGTCAGCTTTTGGCAAACTGCAGAATTCCCAGTACGTGTTAAAATTCCCCGAACCCTTATTTTCAAACTGCCCAGGTTTACTTGGAGATTTTTGAAACCCTGGACAGTTCCTCTCAGAGGTCACGAACACACCCTACTGATCACTTGTACGAAAGCCGTTGGGTTGCTCGCTGGGTTGAAGGGTAGATTTCTCTGCGTCTCCGATTTCTAACTATAGGATGCTGGGTTGAGACTTAGCCCGGCTTTTTATGGCATGAAAATAGTAAAAACAGAATGAAAGGTTAAATTTAGCATTATCGTGTGCTTATTTGTTGGCAAACAGGCTGTTTTTTTGAATAATTTTAAAAATACCTGCAGGCTACACCATGTCATCTGTTGCTATCGACTGAGCGCACATTTCGATGTTTGAGACGCGGCCAATCCGGTAAATAAGTTGCTTTCTGAATTTTCTCAAAATGTCGACACATTAGCTCAGAGGACTTTTCCGTCCGCTTTACTCAACTAAACTTGAAATTGACTCAATGAGACAAGCTAACGTAAACGTATCCGGTGCACCAACGTACCTAGATTGCATTTTAGTGGCGCTGCATCCTTTCTTGTCCCGCATACGTGAAATGTTTGACGTTGTTGACCACCAGAATTAAAATTGTTCGAATTCCTTCCTCTTTTCAGTATTGTAAAACCATATCTGCTCAGCCTTTGGCAAACGGCCAAATTTTCAAAATTTGCTAAAATTTTTTCAACTGTTGCTTTCGAACTCTCTATGTTCAATTTGAGATTTCTAGAACTTTGCACAGGTCTCCTTCCTACGTACAGAAGTGTGAAAGTTTTGGTTGGTAAGTTTCTGACCCCTGAGTCAGAAAAGCTAGAGAGATGAGTTTTGAAATAGTCTTCTCTGCTCATGTGCGATCCAGAGATTTCAAATTCAGTTCCGAATTACATCTTGGTCTCACGTGCGGGGCGTGGAAATTTTTTTGAGATAATTTCTAACACGGGAGCTAGAAAGGCCGGGTAGCTGGAATTTTGAGGGGTTGTTTTTTGTCCGACCTCCAAAATCTTAATTCAGCTTTAATATATGTCTACTCGCGTACGGACATGTAAAAGTTCTGGCAGGAAAATCTGATAACTCGCAGACCAGAACAGTTAAGAATCTGAAATTTTAGAAGAATGTTAAGTGCTTTTGTGCCTCGTCGAAAATTTCTGTTTTGGTTTTAAGCACGTCTAAGTCTCACGTAAGGGTACGTGAATATCTCAGCAAGAAACTTTTCAGCCCTGAAGCCCGGCAAGTCAGGTAGTCAAAATTTCAGGAGTATCTCCTGCTCATGTGCCACTCCGAAATTTTAAATTCAGCTTCTGCGTGTAGGTCTCAAGTGTGGATACATGGAAGTTTTGGTCGACCAGAAAATTCCGACAATTTTTATACAGCTTGCACTTACGCTCATCCATTTACCAAACAGGATATATATATAT